GGGGGGGGTGGGGGCGGTGTTTGTACATAGGGCACTGCTGTCAGGTCCGATGGCGTGGCTCATGCTGTGATGTGAAAGACTGCTCTGGGGGGGACAAGACAGGTACCAGCAAACAGCCCCCCCCCCATAGTGACTCACTGTGACGCTGACTGGGCTGGCACACTCCCCTATGACCTACAGCAAGAGCCGGCCGCAGTGAGGGTCCTCCCATACTGGGAGCGGGCGACCAGTTTAACATGGCACTGCACCACTAGGCCAAAAGATTGTGGGAGGACGCTGGGTTTCTTCTGGGTTTATTAGGCTACCTCTGTATGGAGGGGCTGCAGTGGGTACCAGCCTAGAGTGTGGTGCGTCTCCAATCCTGAGGTCCACGCAGAGAGACACCCAGCACCTTCTCCGTTCCCAGGCAGCCGGACAGGCACCCCGTGTCCCGGGAACGCCTCCGAGCTTGAAGTTCGGCTTCGCCCGTGTTTCTCTCACCACCTCCCGCTTCTCCATGGGCGGGATATAAATGAGTGATGAGCCGTGTCTGTGAAGCACCGTGCAGCTCGCTTTATTCAGACACCATGACTTATTCATGGCTGCTGGAATCATGTTGTTTGCTTGTTTTATTGAAAACCTTGCAGCTGAAGTGCCTGGCTGGGATTTCGGAATGTTCTCCGGAGGCCCCCCTGCCGAATCCCGCTTCCTCATGAATAAATCAGCATGGATGAATTTGTAATTCCTCCCCAAAACTCGTTGTTGGGGAGATCCCTCTGGGGCTGCATTTCAGTCACGTGGGCTCTTTAAGAGCAGGCCCCGCCTCATGGCCCCACCCTCTTTCCTCATCCAATTAAGTGTTTGATGGCTGGGGCCTTAATATTGTGAACTTAGACGATTACAGCCGGTTAATTGCCCTCCCCACAGCTGTTCTGATTGATCCGAAATAATCTGGATGGATCTGAATTCCTCCCTAGGAACGTTTCACAAAACAGAGCGACGGATTTTAAAAGCTACATCGCGTCTGCAGTTACCGGGGGGCGCCGTGGAGCCGCTCGTCGGGGAGGTCTGCCTAATTGGGAGCGGCTCCCCGAACACGGTCTTGCGTATGACAGCGCCGTTTATTTGCCTAAATGCTCTCGGCGAAGCAGCCAGGATCAGTGCCTCCCATGTAATGCTGTACCCATTAGCCGTAAACAGTGACATCATTCACCGGGTAGGTCAGCAGGTTTGCGCCACGGAGCTGCCGCTGTATCAGAACCAATCGCTGATGGAATCCAGGGGATTCGATCAGAACAGAGAGTGCTGGGCTACACCCCTGACTGGCACCTGCTCTTATCTGCACCAAAACTATACCGATGCCCGGGGGGGACCTCTGCAGTGACCACCAGCAGCCGCTCACGGTTTTCAGTCTGGTCCCACTGCGTATTGCGTTAGGGTGGGCGCCGTCCCCATGGCCCTTGACCCTGATCCAGCCCAACCCACACTGGTCTGGCCCGGCCTGCTCTGACCCAGCCCAGTTCCTATCGTTTGTCACTGCTTTAGCTGCTCATATCCTGTTACCTAAGCTAATAGCTCACGGTTCATATGTAGCGCAGGACGTTACCTGCAGCGGCAGCCTTCCGCATTCCAGACGGCCTACGCAGCCTCTCCGACGGGGAGTGTGGAAGCTTAACCCTTCGCTTCCCGCCCCGCCGGACCCCTGGTCCCTTTTCCGCACGGGAGCTGACGGATCCGTGTCTTATCGGGATCAGTCCGCTGGGCTGTGCTTCTCATTTCCGCAGCAGTGACACAGCGTGCCGTGGCTCAATTCTACCTAAAAATATCACAGAATCCCCCCCTGCCTCCGGAGTTGTGTCAGCTGTACTCAAAAATCATTTGCGTTGCATGGAGGAAAATGTAAGCCTTTGTGCGGGGGGGGGGGGAGGTATCGATCCGTCCATGTCACAATTTATATTTGTCTCTGGTATCTGGCTTCGTGATGGTGTGGGTTTGCCTCTGCATCCTACATTTCCCCCCCCCCCGTCCGTGGGATGATCCATCAGACTGTTTACTTTATCACGCTGCCAAACCATCCATTTACACATCCATCTGTCTGTCAAACTGTATCTGAGCATCCATTTGTCTAACTATCTCTGTGTCCAGTTATGCTGCTGTCAGTCAAGCTGCGAGGGGCGGGGCTTTGCTCTCACTGGCTGTCTCTGTACGCCGCATTCCTGCCGTTCTGCGTAATGCCACTTGTAACTAATGAGGCGTCTCAGTGGCCTGTGGCAGCCAGGGTTCACCCGGTCTATGGTGCATTGTGGGTACGCGATGTAGCACTTTGTGCCACTTTTGGTGGATTCAAGGAAAATGGGCTTTTTTCTGCTGTAACTTTCCAGCACTTTGGTCAAAACTTCTGCTGCCCCCCCCCCCACTTTCTGCCCTTGTAGCTCGCTTCCCACCACTGTGTCTCGCTTCCTGCCCCTTGTGCCTCACATCCCACCCCTATGCCTCGCTTCCCGCCCCTTGTGCCTCACATCCCACCCCTATGCCTCGCTTCCCGCCCCTATTCCTCGCTTCCCGCCCCTATGCCTCGCTTCCCGCCCCTATGCCTCGCTTCCCGCCCCTATGCCTCGCTTCCCGCCCCTATGCCTCGCTTCCCGCCCCTATGCCTCGCGTCCCGCCCCTATGCCTCGCTTCTTGCCCCTATGCCTCGCTTCCCGCCCCTATGCCTCACTTCTTGCCCCTGTGCCTCGCTTCCCGCCCCTATGCCTCGCTTCCCGCCCCTATGCCTCGCTTCCCGCCCCTGTGCCTCACTTCTTGCCCCTGTACCTCACTTCCTGACCCTGGCCTCATTTGGCTGTGTACTCACCTTCCATTTCAGGTATTTTTTTTTGCTGCTCCAGAACTCAGTGTCACTCTCTGCCAGTAACCAAAGATGAACGCTTGGCCTTTTCTGCAACTTCCGAGCTGCTGTCACCTCCCTTCCGCTCGGTCTGTCCGCGGCGAGCGCTTTTCTAGGCCCTCTCGCCGCAGCAGTAATGTACTGCTTTCCTAAAAAAAGCATTTGTTTATCGACGTGTGTAGTGATTCTCAGCTTTCCTGCGCTGTATTGTTTACTGAGCTGTCAGGAGACGTTACTCTCCATCCTGGCTCCATTTTCAGGCATGCCGTGCTGGGAGGGGAACTGAACCGGATAATATGGGACAGGGGTGGGGGTGGGGCAGGGGCGAGGGGGTGTCTCTGCCTGTAGCGAAATCTGTTAGGATGCCTTTTAAATGAGGGTGTAGACTTCGGTCTGAGGTATGGGCTGGGGAGAGGGCACTGTGTTCCCGAGGGAGGGGCTGGGGGAGGCGGCGAGTATGGAGGATCCGGACAATCTGGGTCACCGGCACGCCGTCTGGCAAGGTGGGGGGGGGGTGGCAGTTAGCCCAGGAGGGGCACGCCGGTCCACCTGGGTACCGCCGTGTTCTGATCCGACACTTTTGTCAGACACTTGTCGTGACACTCATTTCCCTTAAGGTGCTGGATGGAGGCGGCTCCAGTTTGCCATTACAAACCGAATCGGTGCCACGGGAGGCTGGAATACACGATGGCCAAGTGCCGACAGGCGGCGCTATTTATTAATCGACATGTTTGGGGGCTGGTCTGTCGTTGCCTCCGTGTCTCCTCCACATGTGCCCGTCTCCCTCCTGCTGCGCCACCTTTAAATCTCCCCGTCTGAGAAGCACATTTTACGGAGGTCGCCGGTTGCCCCCGGTTTTGCGACCTCCTTCTCTGACCCCCTCAGATCTGAAGCTTCTTTTCAGGTTGATGCTCCCTTCTTCCCCCAAAGTAATTACTCGTACCTCAGAGTCGGAGCCTGTAGTTTGTGGAAATGCCCCCCCCCCCTCCCACGCCCCTGACCCCCGTCCTATTTTTCTTGTCCTCCTGTTTGAGGGAAAGGCACGCGATTGTAGCGAGGGCCACGGCATGGAGCCAGGCGCTTTCCAGATGACGGAGCAGATACTGGCCGCCTGTCGCGTCAGCTCGCCGTGTTGACGGTGCATACGAAGCTTTCATCATTCTTATTGCATTTTTCTTCTCTGGGGGTGCAGATTCACGTGCATTTCTGCATTCCTGCTTGTGCATATGCATCTGCCGGCGTGCGTTTTGACAGCCATTTACATTTCTGCACCATAGTCGCGTCTTGGTGCCGTGATGTGTGTTTCTTTGTGGAATTGTGAGAAGGTTTTTGTTTTGCTGTCTGCGTGCTTACCGGTTCCCATGTCGTTTGTGTGTGTGTGTTTGTGTGTGTGTGTGTGTGTGTGTGTGTGTCTCATGTGTCTGTTTTGCTGGAAGCCCACGCTCTCAGTTCACCAATCTCAGTTCTGTTTTGATCAGAGTCCAAGAAAATGGAAAAGCGTATCACTTTATCAGTTTATCGCTTTTTCTGAGTTAAGCTGAGGAGTAGAATTCGCACTTAGGGAGGTGCTTCCCCCCCCCCCGCTACATATGCTAGGGGTAGTAAAACATGAAAGTGTATTTCTACTCAGTCGACAGGGGGACCAGACGTTAAACCGGAATGCGGAGAGAGACGCTTAATCACTTAACCTCGATGGGTTTTTCCCGTCACATATAATCACGCATATTTACGTTCATTTGATCCCGGAACGGAACGACAGCGAGGTTACTAATGGGGCTGCCTGCTTTACGGCTGACTTTAATATCGTAAAAATGCAGGCAAATGGGGCCAGTTTACCGCTGATGATGTAATTGGCTGCAATTACTAAAAAAAGATGACAGCGGTATGCACGCCATTACGCCATTAATCCGTCCGCGAGCGCTACCGGCGAATGCCGTGTCCAATCTACCGATCGCGGCATGGCGTGCCGTGTGGCCGGCTGGCGCGTCCAGACAATCAGGCGAGTGTGAATGTAGATAGTCACTTAGCGCTTGGGGCATCTTTGGTGTCTATGGCGAACCCCCTTCCCCCCCCCTTGATACAGTTGATTAGGAAACAGACTCTAAATAGATTGATGGCGCTCTCGTCTGGCCCCGTGACATGTTGCTTGACACCTGAAAAACAATGGCAGCCCTTAGCATTTAATTAAGTTCTGGATTGCAGGCATTTCCCCACTGTATCCCGTGATGTTTTACTTCCTCCGCCCCCCCTCCCCTACCGCTCCTCACCACCCTCTCCCGCTTCTGCGCTTCGAAACTCTGAAAGATGTCGCCTTGGGGAGAAGCAGGTAAAGAAGCCATCAAACCGACAACAGGAGACAGATTGGTGATCAGTGACGGAAACCTCTCTGTCGTATCTGCCTGCGTTTTTTTTTTTTTTTTTAGTCCTGTAGAGGATGGCTTTAATATTCCTCCCTAGAAGAAACTGCTGCCATTTTTTCAATTGCTCCCCTAGGTCGTCGCAGGGAAAGTCAGGTGTTTATGCCGGCCTGCGGACGACACGGGGACAGTCTGCCTAAGGAAACCTGTTCGGTGTGCCGTGTTTTTCATCATATGAGGGTTTTTGTTTGATGTGGGGTGATAACGTGATTTTGACACTGCCTAACGTTGCCTGTGCCAGGTTATTGAGGTTCAGCCTTTGTAAGAAATCCCAAGGTGTATCTCCTGGATGCGGTTGATGTTCCATTTTCACTCCTGGTTGATGGAAATCAGTCGTGTGTCTGTTTGCCTCTAAATGGGAGCTGAAACAGGGCTGAGTCTCCTTGCAGAAATGTTCCACACATCTACAACTGTTTCAAGACAGGATCGCTCCTTGTTCAGGTTCCCTCCTCTCATTTTCTCCTTATTCACCCACGTCCCGACTCTCCATGCCGGCCCCCTCTGCTGCCTGCTCCCTCTCCCTCACCCTCCCACGCGTTTTAATAGATGTAGCGCTTCTGACCTCGGCCGCGGTGGTGCTGGAGTCTCCAGTGGATTCCCGCAGAAAGGCTCTCCGAATGTTGTTAGGTCTTGTGGGGGATGAGGGTGGGGAGGAGCGAAACGGAAGTGCAGAGTGAGAAATGAGGTCACCTTTTAGGGAATTGCAAATTAATGGCAGAAATACAATGTGCATATTTTTGCAGCATTTTTTGAAGTCAGTTCCTTTGTTTTTGTTCTCTCATTTTTTTCTGCACCAGTTGCTCGTTCACATTCTAGATTCTTCTGTTTGCTTTTTTTTTGCCCAGAAGGATTGCAGATGCTTGGGGGTGATGGAGACTCAGGAATGATCATTGAAGCTGGTGCTGCTGATGACCTGCTTTCCTTTCTGGTGTTTTGACATTTGCAGTGCTCGGTGTTGCGTGACGTCAAATTGCCTGTCCATCTTAACTGCTCCCCCCCCCCCCCCTTCTGAGATTTTAGTGAATCAGGCTCTTTGCCACTTGCTGCCGTGAATGCAGAGCTTTTTAGCACATGCTCGCTGTCATTTGGGGTGGCTGTGTACCCTGCATACCCACCGGTACCATCAGCTGGCATGACAGGTAGCTGGGTGCCACAGCTCCCCCAGGCTTGGTGAAGGCTCCTCAGTTTTGAATAAGGAGCTTTAGGATAAGCCATTGTCCTCCTGGCGCACCCTGAAGTCCAAAGAGGTGTAAATAAAGCCAAAATGTCCAAACTTCAGGAAATTTCAGCTTCAGGAGTGTCTCAGGGATGGGCTCTAGTTTACTGAAGAAGACCTGCTGCAGTGTTATTTTATAATGCAGTCTGTAAGCTTGGGGCCAAGGAAGACATCAGCAACAGACCACCGCTGCTTTCCATCCTATATATCTGCAGCTGCCACCTTTCATTTCAGACAGCTATCCTGCCCCATGCGAGCCCACGCTCTGGCTTTGCATCACTTGTCGTCTGCCGAACCCTGCGAGTTCCCCCACCTTCCCCTTCTCCCTCCCCCCTTGTCCAGTGCCGCAGTCATTCCCTGTACCCTTATCTTGCTAATGCATCGGGCCTGGCTCCTTCCTCTTCAGGGCTGTGCCTCTGCATCCAAATTGCACTCCCCCCCCCCCAATGAGTGCTAGGTGAAACAGCTTTTGAGAAAAGCCCAGGAACAGGTGCTCAGTGGGGTTACTGTGGAACCAGACAAAGGAGGCCTGATCCAAGCCCTTCACCCACTCATTCTCCTTCTGCGCTCCCTTAATCAGTTTGTTGCTTGTTTTCCACCCCCTGGTTTGTTAGTGTCCCTCTCTGTGTAGCAAGAGATGAATCCCTAATTCCCTTTCCCGCGTCTCCAGTCAACGCCTCCTCACCTCAGTAGTTTTTCTTCCTGTTGATCTTGTTTTTTTTCTCCTCCCCGCTCTCTCTTTCTGGGGGAACAGAGAACCGGCACTTGGTCCTGGAGAGGTCCCGCTCCCGCCATAATGGAAACCCGTCCGGCCGGTGACCTCAGCCAGATCTCGCCAGCCTCGGCCAGCCTCACAGGAAGGAATCTGACGTGTGCCAAAGATGGAGCTTGGGGGGGGGGGCATCTGGAGTGAAGGGAACTGCGGGGTGAACCCGTGGGTCCGAATGGGACGGCTTGAGGGGCTGACAAACGCAGAGGTCCAGGATGGCCGTAGGGGAGCAGACCGTCATCGACCAGCTGATGGTCTGGCGGTCTCAGCATATTTATTTATTCCTACTGTGGCTTTGTTTGCAAAGGACATGTTTAATTACGCCTGCAGTTGATTTTAATCTCCTTTCCATTTTTATTTGCTTGTTTGCTCTCTGTCTGGCACGCTCACTTGCCCATCTGTCCCGCTTGGTGAAGCTGACTGACTTGTGCTGGTTTACCGCCGGCTGACTTTCAGCTTACTCAATCAGCAGCAGAACAAAAAAAAAAAGAAACAGGAAAAAAGAACAGTCAGGTAACTTCAGGTCTGAAGTTTTACAGCTTTTGTATTCTCTATAGACCTTTGCCCCAAACAGAGACATCTTGCCATCAGGACGTTCACCACAGCTGCATTTTTCTTTGCGAAACCTTCATCTCCCTGCCCCAAAAAGGTCTCCTCCATTTCGACATCCTGGCCTGTATGTCCAACTCTCTACCTTCCATGGAGAGTCTGCCGTTATCCACTGCACGTCATTTATATCTACGCTGAGACGCATTGTGTAAATGAGAATTACGACGACATGTACATGCTGTGTGGAGGAGGATCCTCACGTTTGCTTCGTTATGGTGTTTCTGCTACCTTGAGGGTGTCTCTGTTGGCAATCCCCAAGGAGTACGTGGGTTACTTCTGCTACATGTAACAGAAAGGAGATGCAGGAGGTGAATGTGGACTTGAGATGGACACCCTTGGTGCCGGCCCAGAGCTTGCAGATGAAAAGATGCAGCTCTCAGACTCCCAGTTACTCTTGCTGGGAACAATTCCATCGAGAAGGTGAGGCTCTTCATCTGCCGATGTTTGTCAAGGTGCGTCTTCAGAACCTGCACGCGGCGTCTCACGGCGAGCAGGGCACCTCCCCCTGCGGGGAAATCCGCTCCTCCACTGGCTGAGGACTCGCATGTGGGGGCTCCATACACTAAGCCAAGGCAAGACGTGGAAGAGGAAGCGATGAGGCAGCTGTGGGCCGTGTTATGAGGAGGTAGCAGGGTCAGTAGTGGGTGCTGCTGTCTCCTCAGATGAGATTTAGGATCCAGGCCTTCTAAACGTTTCCTATCCCTGATCCTTTTGATTCGAGAGCAGAGCACTGCACCTCACTGGAAAACCACCATTCCCTGGATGGGCATCAAGTGTGGGGGGGTGAATTTGTAAAGGCCTGAGACTGTTTCCAGAGGTGCCCCCCACCCCGGGTCTAGCCATAAATAGAGCCAGCAGCAGAGATTTAAGTGCGCGGTTTAAGGCGTGACACACCGTTCACCCCCCCCCCAGCTCGCCCTCTCACTGATGGGCTGGTCTCCAGCAACTAAAGAGAGTTTTTATTAATGTGGTTTTGTGTGTTTATGTGTCTCGAGACTCTTGCATTTCCCTGCCCCGTGAAGCTGATCCATTCAAAAAGTGAGATAAATTAATTCTGTCGACACACAGGAACACCGTCGAGTTCAACAGCCCACAGCGAAATACAATAAGCAATTTGAGCTGAGCGCATTTTCCAGATGTCTCGAAAAATTCTGCGGAAAATCTGATATTTCTCCCCGTAAAGGAAGGCCATTAGGAGTCACATCGCAGGACGGGCGGCAGCAAGGGGGGGGGGGGCTCCAGGCCTTTGTCCGCCTGTTTACCGTGGTGCGATACCATCGTCGCCTACACCCTAACCGTTCAGCGCAGCGCAGATTCACGTCGCCGCATCCCATCACGAGTTGCCGGGGGTCATGCCAGCCGGCCTTGCCCTCCCCCGTTGTGAAACAGAGTCGAGGCTTTTCCTTGCGCTGCCGGCTTGTGGAGCAGGAGGAACAAATCAGGAAGTCCAGGCATATATAGAAACAGTACAAAATACTTATTTAAGAAGTCTGTTAAAAACAGTATCGTCATCAAGTGATTAAATAGCAGTTAATCGATTGACAATTGAGCTTTTCCAGATGAAAAAAACCTGAGGACTACGAACAATGGGAAGAATCCTCAGCGAGCCCCGGAAACTAGATCCGAGCCGGAATGACCCTGGAATGTCTCTGCCTTACGTGATATTAGGAAGACAGCTGTCATTTTCCTGCCTGGACCCAGCCGGCGTGTACGCTCGCTCGCTCGCTCGCTCGCTCTTGCTCTCCTGAGCCTCCAGGACGCAGGATAGCTGCCACGCTGCCATACCCATGTTCAGACCTCTGCCATAACCGAATCCCGCTGACTGCGACTTGGCTGGGGGCCGGGGTCAGTCTCAGAATGCCATTCATTTGCTTTTCTTGTGTGTTTATTATGTCACAAAAATGGACGCCAACCTTTTGATGAATTAAACTGTGTATAAGTAGAATTTCGATAGAGTTGTGCCATTGGTAGGGTTGTTTACCCAGGTGGGGTGGGGTGGGGGGTGGTTTCTATGACGATGGAATCACATTTCAAACGGTGCACTTTAACCCGCTGTAGGCTGCCAGTTTGATTTTTAGGTTTTATTAAGAAAAGGTGGCGTCGGCACACTTGCCGGCTGTGCGTCTCTAGGGAGTGCGGTGCGACTCGGACACACGCAGAGAGGAGACGTGGAAACATGAAGAACGGGGAAACTCCCAATGACCTGATTAAACATGGCTCACGCTGTTATGACCGCCATGTCATATTGTCCTAAAACACTGTTTTGATTTGTAACATCTGTTTCTTTTTTGTCCTTAATAAAAAGAAGGGGGTATGCATGCTGTGTCTGAGTGGATCATGTGATCGAAAATCGGACTTCATTCTCTTTATTTGTTCATTTATCTGCATTTAGCAGCTCTGTGAACGCCAGTGGAAATCGACGCTTGTCTTACAACCCGCGCGGAGCACAGACGGAGATTAACCGCGATTAACAGCATTCGGCTTTGCTGGGTTGTGATACTATCAGATGATTGCTTTGGTCCTCAGCTGGTCGTTTAATCCACAGCGGCTGACGCGGTGCGACGCGTCACTAACGCAGCCGGAACCCTTTCTGCTCCGAGACCCCCGACCAGGATCCGGGTCTCCGAGACGGCGTACGGAGGAGCCGATTCCGGGGCTGGCAGCTGGAGGCCGGGCTTGGGGATCGATCGAATTCAGCTGAACTTGATTCGATTTACAGGTCGTGTACATGAGCACATTGTTGTGAAACACCTTACGATTGAATTCACAGGGGGAATTAGAGGAGGCCGAGTGACAGCAGAGGGAGAATGAACGGCCATGTTCTGGGGAAGGGGAGGGGGAGGTATAGGTGCATAGAACATGAGTGTGACTGTAAAACCCCCCCAAACTCTGGCTCTCACCTGCGACTGGGGGGGGGGAGGCGTGTGCCGATCTGCTGAGGTCCAGGGTTAAGCGTCCTTTCCGTGGTGTTGCTGTGCTCAGCTGGCCGGCGGTGAACATCAGCATACCGCTGGGGCTCTGCACCAATCTGCCAGCCGCCACTGAAGCACCACACTGAACCTCCGGGCTCCAGTGAAGACGTCCAGCATTTAGTCTGTGGGGGCAGCGGGGGCATCATTACCGTCCCAACATGGCCTAACAAGCATCATGAACTTCAAATGGTTCCCCTAATTTAAGAGCCGCGGAGCCTTCTGGGGGGGGGGGGCTAACACAGCTTGCGAGTTTGTAAATAAAACTCACCCGTGGCTGGTGTCTGCACTACTCGGGACTAGGGGGCGGGGGTGTATCCAGAGTAATGTTTGGATTCTTTTAAAATTCACCCTACCGCTGTGGTCCGGAGCCCCCGCTGTGCCGGAGTGCAATGGCACAGAGCATGGGTGTTTCAAATGACCCCCCCCCTCCATCTCCCAGACGTGGCCAGCCTCCTTCTCAGTACACACACAGAAATACCCAGTGCCCCCCCCGCCCCCTCCATCGGCTCCCGAAGTCCCGCACGAGCAGCTTGGCGCCCGTGTCCTGCCGTCGGGCGAACGCGGCACCATATGCGAGCTAAAGAAGCTCGCTGGTGTCTCGGGGGGCGGGGGGGGGCCCATCCGCACATACGCTTATAATATATCCTTAATCGCGGATCATCCGTGTTGTCATTCCCGTCTGCGGCGCCGGCGCAGACACAGATGGAGCCGATCGCAGCCAGTGGAGATGCTCCTCTCTGCCATACCAACAGCGCGCGTACCGCTACTGCCAATTACCCGCTTTGTTCACATTTTCTTTAAACCCCTCCCCCCTCGGAAGCAAGGAAAGGCAGCGAGACACAGACAAACAGACGGCATTGACCTTGCGGTGCGAGCAACCCCCTCCTTCACCACACGCACCCCCCCCACCATCCCAATGGGGTCGTCCATCTCTCCCTGCTAATTATACAATTCTGCTGTGCTCCGTCTTCCTGCGATTGGGCCCATCCTGAGCATGCGGCACGGACCACAGCATCTGTGATGGGGGGTGCACACCGCTGGGGGGGGGGGGTTATTTTTACACCATGGTACTGTAAGTACCCCTTGACAGCCTCTGAAGGATATGCACAGCCCACACACACACACACACACACACACACGCTTGCCTCCCCAACCCTCTCCCTGCCGTTTAAACCGCACACACACACGTCACCTGACCAGCTGTCGAACGGACCGTGGCTCAATCATTAAACAGGTACGCTCTGCCCAGCCCCATCTTTACTGTGTGTGGACTGTGTGTGTACTGTGTTATGGTGGTGTGGACTGTGTGTGTACTGTGTTATGGTGTTGTGGACTGTGTGTGTACTGTGTTATGGTGTTGTGTACTGTGTGTGTACTGTGTTATGGTGGTGTGGACTGTGTGTGTACTGTGTTATGGTGGTGTGGACTGTCTACTTTAATGTACTGCGTTATGTTCTGTGTAATGTACTTTGTGGTGTTTATCCAAAAATTAATATGAAACAGTTATTTTTCAGCCAATGGAAGGCTAAAAATACTTTTAAATGATTGTGTTCTAAAATAGAAGATGCGTATCCAAGGCTTTCCAAGTCTCTTCAGCGTGTTGTGGTTGAGCATCCAAACAGATGTTCTCTCCAGCTGTATTAAAACACATCATGGACCCAGTGTGCCCTGCGCCCCCCCCCTCTCCTGGGATACCTCATTCCCCTGTGACTCATCCCTAAGAGCTCACGTGGATGCTGTAATGGTCTTGTTTCCCCCCCCCCCCACCTCTACCCCTTTAGGCCAGCATGTGACCCTGTCTCCTGTTTGTGAATCGGGGGTTCAGTTCAGTGATGGGTGGGTGCAGTGCGGCCTTTCAGAAGCGATGCCTCCTAGATACTTTTTTCACTCCCTAATTTCTCTTGCCCCCCCCACCAAAGCCAGCATCTACAGAAGGGGTGAACATGGGGGGGTAGTTATCCTCCAGCTACCAATGCAGGAAGTCGCCATCATTCAGAGCAGCACTTAAGATGCTGGCAAGACTGGCTCCTGCCCAGGAGGTTGCAGGTTTTAATCTCAGGCTGCCGGTTGCTGTTGTACCCTACAGCAAGATGCCTAATTAAAACTACTTAAACAGCTTTTTATTTTTAAATATTCCGAAAATATTGCTGGAAATGACCTCAGCATGGAACACATGACCTGTTAAATAAAGAATAGAGTTCAGCGTTTCTTCAGCTTTGGAGCTAATGCTGTATTTCCGGGATGGCTGTGCAGACACACTCAGACACACACACACACACACACACACACAGGGGGCAGTGTGTATGGGATGGACCGCACACACAAACACACACCTCCAGCCCGAAGCCTGACCCCGCGTTATTAATAAGGCTCTCGCCAGAACGGAGCGGCGTCTGAAAGTGGGCAGGGGGCGGGCAAGTGGAACACCAGCAAAGCAGCGTTTCATCTCCAACAGCTTTTCCTCTGGGCAGTGGCGAGACGACCGGGCCGTGCCGAGCGGCGCACATGAAAGCAGCCGAGAGGAGTTTTACCTCAATTAAGGGCCCTTTAGCCTCGTTAACATACGGCGCGCTCCGGTATCGCGGTACGGCCCAATACCCATGATAGCATTCCCAAGAAGCTGCTTCCTCCCCGAGAAGCTGCTTCCTCCCCGATTGCTTGCAGTCGATGCCTGAAGTTTTGGCATACCGGATTTTCCGAATTATGGAACAACGGCGCCAATCCCATCATCCCCCCAGGTGATAGGTGCTCACAGAGCTGGGAACGTCGTTGCACAAGCAGTCAGGCAGAGCCCGTTCAAATGGACTTTGCATGATCCTTTACGTCAGCCGATGGTTATAATACCTCTTTGTTTGGGCATCTCCTCTGTCCAGAGTGACTGCAGATTTACGTGATAATCACACGTATTAAACCAAATTGTCCTCAGTTTTATGGTTTCTCTCTTCTGTGTTCTGTCGTCAGGCAGAGTCCGATGTATTGAGTGAGTTGCTTGTTTGGGGGATGGGTCCGTACCTCTCATAGGTCTCATCGCATCAGACTGGCAGTGTGACCAAAATGGCCGTCCCTGATCCACGGGAGCAAGGACACCCCCGGAGCGAGCCTCTCGGTGCCCTGACATCCCAGACAGCCCAGCTCAGCCATGCTCCTGCTCTGACAGCCCGCTGTGGTATTCTGAAACTCACGCGCCGTCCATGATGAGCCATTCCAGCTGTTGTGTGCCAACCCCCCCCCCCCCCAGCGACGGGCACGGGGACCACTCAGCGCAGCCAGAAGAGATGGCTGTCTAGCCGTCTTTGGAGTTTTATTTTTGCTTTGCCCTTAGCAGGTGGCCATGTTGATCAGGCCAAAAAAACAAGCACGCACACACACACACACACACGCGCGCGCACGCACACACACACCCTCCTCCCGCTCTGACCAGCTGTGTTGCCATAAAACACCACAGAGATGTCCCGACTGTCCCCGAGGCAGGATCCAGCTCAGTCGGGCCATGAGGCTGCAGATGTGACCGCGGCTGTCAGACGCCCAGCCGCCGACCGCTCGGCGATATTCACGGGGGCTGTGAAGGACAGATAACACTGACTTCATTGTAGGAGCAGCGAGTCACCGAGGATGTTTACAGACGTATTTACCAAATAATGGGCCGCAGACAGGCTCCTGGATGCTTTGCCGCCAGTCCGCCACACCTGCTCCTTTTACTCCCCACCTCTTCCTCACTTTTATCAGCATTTCATCCACCATTTCTCCTTGAATTAGCTCCTGCTTTCATGACCTGCCTCACCTCCAGTCTCTCCTTTTGTCCTCCTCGCCCAGTCGAGACGATGCCGATCAACAGGCGCACTGGAGTGAGGTGTTTCCAATCCGGAAAGGCGGCGGACCGGAAAGCATGCCCCCCCCCCCCCCCCCCCCCCCCCCACCCGGGCCCAACTGATCCTAAAGCCACCCTCCAAAGCCATAAAGGGAATAGTCACACGGGCTGCGGTTCCGAGTGAATGACAGAGCGCTCGATAAAGTTCTGATGGCCCGTCTGGCGGGGGCTGTAACAGCCTTGTTTGTTTCTTGGCTCCCCCCACCCCCCACACCCAAACGACCGATGTGGAATCGTTTACACTGAGGCAGTATAGGAGACCATCCGGAATGTTCTCGGGGTGACATCCGAAGCTGCTGGCATCGGCCTTTATTCCCACCTCGGAATTCCTGGAATGTGCGGAGTGCTGTACCTCAGGAGTAACGCTGTGTCACATCTCAGCCCAAGGACGGGGAGTGCCCTCCCGCAGGGAAAAAGGCCCCCGCATTGATATTTGGAAGCAGCACCCATGATGCCTCCATTTTCCATCATTTGAGAA